ATATATATATATATATATATATATATATATATATATATATATATATACTAAAATAAACTACTACTTTTATACTTCATGGGTTTTTCACTTAAAGCGGGTCTTTAGGGTACTGATCTCCCACGATAAATGAGGGACTACTGTATTACCACCTCTGACAGATTTTCAGTGGTAAACCCTGACATGATTTCTGCAATGCCAACCTAAAATTTCTTCTGTAATGAAACATTACAAGCCAAGCCAAATCTAGCCACCGAATAGAAACATTTTAATGTTTTATAGAGGCAATGCCGTACATGTATATAAGCTTGCTATGTGTATGTAACATATCTATGATATGCATTAATGTTTTCATGTTATATGAAAATATCATATTTGGTAATTGTTGTTGAAACATTGTCTGCAGAGTGGAGAATTGAGTCATATTCAGAACATAAAAATATGTTTGCATAAATAAGAAAATGGATCATAAAACTGCTGCTGTTCTTTGTGATTTCATAGAGTGGTGATTATTGTAATAGCATTTTATTTGCAGGACAACTAAAGACAAATATTGTTGAATTTAGCTGTGGATTTTTTCGATAGCTTCTATTTAGCAATGACATTGTTATATAAGCTGCTGAGCTTGGTGGTCAGTGTCTCAGCCTTGTAATCCTGAGGCTGTTGGGTTTGAGTCCAGGTTGCGTCAAGAAGGGCATCCAACGTAAAACACTTGCCAAATCTTCTGTATGAGTTTGCTCACTGTGGCAACGCCTGCAGAAGGAAGCAGCTAAAAAATAATGACATAAGTATTGAAAATTATAACAAATTGTCAATACTTCAAGTAATGCTTTAAAATTTAATTATTGCAAGTGCTGTTCTAGCTTTCTAACTTGACTCTTGTTTTTTCCAGCTCTGCAGTGTGTGGATGATAAAGCACCTTGTGTGAACAATGCTACATGTCTGACCTTTAACAATGGCACCGAATACTGCAGGTAAGATCCGCATGAAAGTTTCCGACCAAACAACGACTTTTCATACTTTGTATTATAAATGTAAGGACAGAAATAGAGACACACTTTTGATGGTTGATTATAAGTCAGAACAAAAAATGTTTTTCTTTTTAATCAATGCCAGTCTCTTCATGGGATCATGGGGTTTTGTTTAGTCATAAAGAGAACAAAAGAACACTTTGTCTGACAAACCAGACACATTTGAGGAATGAAACCAATATGTGTATCTTCTTTCTAGTGTTTTATTTCACAAATCTGTTTGCTGTTTACTTTTTTCTTGCTGCAAAATATTACAGGATTTGCATACTTTACTGATCACTTATTTGTCACTGGTCACAACGTTATGAAAGCACCTTTAGTACATGAGAAAGTCATATTTACTTTACCCAAAAAAAAAAATCAGCATTGACTCATTAATATGGCAGCACGGTGGTGCAACTGGTAGAGCTGCTGCCTCTCAGCGAGCAGGTCCCCGGCTCAAATCCCAGTTCGGAGGCCTTTCTGGGTGGAGTTTGCATGTTCACTCCGTGCATTCGTGGTTTTTCTCCTGGTTCTCCGGTTTCCTCCCACAGACCAAAAACATGCATGTCAGGCTGATTGGTAACTCTAAATTGTCTCTAGGTGTGAGTGGGAGAGTGAATGGTTGTTTGTCTCGTTTGTTTCTATGTGGCCCTGTGATGGACTTGCGACCCATCCAGGGTGTACCCCGCCCCTTGCACAGTGATTGCTGGACATGGGCACCGGCGAGAACCCCGTGACCCAAAATAGAAGAAGCAGGTAAAAGATAATGGATGGATGGATGGATGACTCATTACTAAAAATATTAGTCTAGACATGTGTTATTTGGAACAGACTAAGTTGTGTCAACTAAGAGCTTAAAATAACTTGTCTTTCTTCCTTTATACTTTAGGAAAGGGGCCTAACATAAAGGAGTGTGCAGTGACTTCCACTTTCTAACAACTTAGCCTAGTGAAAGTCTGAGCTCTGTTTTTAATTGCACTCCCAAGTCACATTCCCAACAGAAATGTATTATAGTTGGTTCATGAACCTGATCGTGTTTCATCAGATGTGATGAGAATGGTGCAATGTGTCTGTTCCCAGAGTTTTTGGAATTTCAACACTTGGCTGCTGCTGTAAAAAGTGAAGATAAAACTGTGTATTCTTAATCAGTATTTAACATTTTCTCTGACTTATTGAAGGTCAAGTGGACGTTTTGCTGCAGGTGCAACTATGCTTGTTGTTACAGTTCAAGTGTAAAATATTACATCTTTACTTAGGCAACCTAAGTCAACCAGACTCATGTTTTTATGATAAAAAAAAAATTCTTGAGCAGATTTTTCTCATTACGCGTAAACACTATGATTGTTACAGAGAGGTCAAGCTGTCGTAGGTGGGATGCAGTCTGATAATATCTATACATCTTGATAAAACAAACAAACAAAAAATCTACAATGGTTAGGATTATGATGTAATGGCATCTACATTTGTCTGCGCTTGTACAGGACATATTTCTCAAAAAAGTAATTTACCAAGTAAAAAAAAATCCTCAACAAACCCATGCATTTTGTATACATGTAGAGGCACAAAGTTAAAGACTAAAAAGTACTTTAGAGCCAGTGTTTATTAGCACAAGTCTCTGAGACAATATTCAGACGAGTTGAACTCTCAGAAGTATTGACCACATCCTTCTTGGCTTTACTTTCGTAATATTAAAGAAAAAGGGGAAAGCCAGAGAGATCTATGGATGCAGTTAAAGAGGACATGGAGGTAGTTGGAGAGAGGACAGACTGAGATGGTGAAGGATGAATTGCTGTGGCGACCCCTGAAAATGTGAATTATGTATGTGAATGTTTCTGTTCAGTGACCTGAGACAACTTCTGTTGTGAATTGGTGTTTTATAAATAAACTGAATTGAATTGAATTGAAAAAGGAATAGATTAAATAAGAAGAATTTCATTGTTTCATGATTTTTTTAATGGCATTCTTCAGTTATGCTTTGAAAATTTTGAAGAGATAAGATTTTTCTTTGTGAAAATGTATAAATAGTTTTGGTATTTGTCTTTTCTACTATCTTGAGTTTTTTAAGTGACACCAAATTGAATAGGTGAAGCTGTTTGTTGCCCAGAGAGCATCTAGAGTTGAGCTCCTTGGAACAGAAGAGTCAGCTGGCAAGCTCACTGTTAAACTGATTGAATAGAGGTTTTTTCTGCTGTTTACTAAACATCTGTGCCATTGTAAACATTCTGTATGTGCACACACATGGCTCTGTTCAGTCTAGTTTCATCTGAACTGGATTTTTGCTCAAAAGATGTACAGTGCAAAAACCTAATTACAAGTTCATCAGTCTCTATAGTTTATCAGTGGCAGATAAACAGTCACTGTGGCCTTTAGACATTAACCAGCCAAATTTATGTCACGTGGGGCTTACTTAAGGTCAGACAAAGTAACTGGTTTAAAATAATTTGTTTATTCAAAAAAAAAAAAGAAGAAGAACATTTTCATGAATATTTTTTAAGATTAAACAGCACTAACACTGAAAAATTAAGTATCCTCCAATTTTTGCATCTGTTCTCAAAAAGGCTGATTTAAAAAAAAAGAAATACAAAAATATTTTTTTAATCATCTTTTGGATAAGTTATGGTGAGACATTTAATTCTAGAAGAGTAATTAGAATTAGGCTGTTTGTAATACTGTGTTTGTACTGTATTATTTAAGTCATTTATTTAAATAAAACACTGCAATTATATCACAGAAAAATACTTATTGCTCCCCCATGTCTAGAGATCACATTGTCTGTGAACTTTCTGGTTTGTTTAAGTTCAGGTGTCTCATTTTGTTCATGGATATTTTTATAGTGAAAGAGAGCATGGGATAAGTCATTGGCTGCTTTGTAGGGCAGGGTGCAGTAAAGCCGTCTAACCGGTGACACTACAAACCATCAGCTTTGGGTGTGTGAAGAAGTGTCTCTGAAAATTTGTAAATGTCAGCTTGCATGGTGTTTTTTTCTGATCTGCGTCCCGGCCGACGGACTTCATGTATCAACAGAACAGAAATTTTGACCTTGATATGTAAGCCATGGAGAATTCCTGATGCTCACACAGTTTTTTGACTCACTGTCCAGTTAATTTTTCTGGCAGTCAAAGCAAACATAATAGTTCACACACTAAACTCTTTGTTTTCTGTTGGCCTTTGGTGCAAAGTGATTACCTCCACCTTCCTCTCAATGCCTCTCCCTTCCTCTCTGTTTTAAACATCTATTTTGCCTTCAAGTTTTTTTTTTTCCACTTTGTTGTGTGGATATGCTGCTTGTTTGATCTGACAGGTAGAATTAACCTGCAGGGCAGACAGAGGAAGAGAAAGGGCCAAAACAAAAGAGGATGTCTCTTTTCATGTAATTTGAGGAGGAATACCTCGGAGCGCAACTCCTTACGAATGATGAGAGAGAGAGCAGTGACGAGGGGGAAGGGAGATGAGGTTGAAGCAGGGAGAGGAGTGTAATTTCCTTACTGCTACACCTCCCTCATGAAACTGTCACTCACCCATCCATACTTCAGTCCCTCCCTCTGCTTCAAGGATTTAAATGCCTCTGGACACAACTCACTTGGCCTGCTATTCTTTACCCATCAATACTATTCCTTCATTTCACATCATCTCATTGCAACCTAATCTCCCTCACAAATCACTTGATTTTTTTATTAAGTCATTGTGCTACATTACAGAAACATTTTGTGTAACTTATTGTGCACATTTCATACTCAAAGGCACACAGCCGATAAAGACAGAAAAAGACAAAGAAGAGAAATGATAAGTATTGTTTAAAGTCTAGTCACTACACACATTTTTATTAATCCGTTTCACTCCCTGTATTTGGCACACATAGGTTTGAAGTGAGTTGAGGATACGTTCTAAACACAAGTCAACACAACTGAAAGAGGAGATTGTAACCCTAAACTGTGATTTCTCAATCTTTCTGTACAAAGATTTATCTCCTTCCCACAGTGCCGCAACAGCAGTGTAGATGTGGTTGAGACTGGAACCACGGTGATAAGAGTTTCTTTGTATATGTGTTTGTCTTTGTACCATTCTGTATTTTATCTGGAGGTCAGGGGCACCTGGAGCCTGAAGCTAATTCACATGCTGGCACATGAAATCTGGCTCTCACTTAGCATATAAATTCAATATTTGGATAATCAGGTTCTAGCTCTGGTTGACTCATGCTTTGTGTGAGATTTTCTGTTTATGAGAACTAGCACTGAACCCCAACTTCATCTTAATTAGCTAATTTTTGCGCAGTACTGTTGGTTGGAGACCTTAGAGAAATTTGTATTCCTCAGAAAAGGGACGACTTTCATAGCTCAGGGGAATGTAGCAACCAGACCGTAAACCTGCACACAGTAGGGTGACAAGTCGCTCTCTGTCACACATGAATGTGACACTATGGGCTCAGAAATATCTCTGCTTTGTCATAAGATCACACACGTGCATTGTTATATTGAAAACCCGAAAGGATTCAACCAGTGTGAATTTTGATTTATTTTAATTTTAGTAAAAGTCATAACAAAGCTACTGTTAGATGATTTTAACTGACTTTAAGGTGTTGTGGCGCAGAGATTAGAGAAGGTGGGCCTGCTATTGGAAGATCACTGGTTCAACTCCTGGTACCGACAAAATGTGGGTGGAATTGGTGAAGCACTCATACCTGCCTTCACCCTCATTTGCCCACTCTGCGCCCTTGAGCAAGGCCCTTAACCCCCAAACTGCTCCCCCAGGCACCCTAGATGGCAGTTCTCTGCTCCACACAAAGGACTATGGTAGGGATGTGTGATATGGCATAAAATTCACATCACAATATGTATTGCGAAGGGTGGTGATAACAATATATATCACAATATGTTTTTGATATAAGACTTGCAATAGGAATGAAAAAAAGCATAGGGTGTCGTTTTGCCATCATTTATTTTGAAAACTGCTATACCACAAAA